GCCTTCAATCCGATTATTTGAGTCCATGAAAACGTAGCTAGTGTCATACTTTATAGAAGAAATGAGAAGGAGAGAATATTTGGGGGAATAAATGTTTGAGATATCTAAATTGATTAAAGGTGTTTTTATTGATGGAAGTTCACACCTTTTTTTTTTAAGCGAGTTTAGAAGGTCTGTACTTTGAAATCCAGCAGTGGTGTTTTTATGTCTGCATGCCTGTGTTCAGTGGAGCGAGGCATTAAGCGGCAGGAGCAGATCGTCATTGGAACCCCAGGAACGGTCCTAGACTGGTGCACCAAGTACAAGCTTATCGACCCCAAGAAGATCACCATGTTTGTTCTGGATGAAGCTGACGTGATGATCGCCAGGCAGGGCCATCGGGAACAGAGCATCCGTATCCAAAGGTGGGAACCTATTCAATTAATGACAGATTTTAAATAAAAAAACGACATCTCTGATCCCTGCCTTCACTCTTATCCAGGCTGCTCAACAAAAGCTGTCAGATGCTGCTCTTCTCCGCAACCTTTGAGGATTCTGTGATGACGTTTGCTGAGCGAGTGATTTCACAGCCGAATATCATCCGACTCAAACGGGTGGAAGAGACGCTGGAAACCATCAAACAGTTTTACGTTCTTTGTAGGAGGAAGGAGGACAAGTTCATTGCGCTCTGCGACCTGTACGGGTGCCTGACTATTGCACAGGCAATGATCTTCTGCCATGTAAGCTGAAATGTTTCTAAAGATTTTTTTTTGTGTGCATTTTGTCAGTTAAATTTACAACATGAAGACTAGAGGGGAGAGAAATGATCCATTTATAGTCCCCTAGAGGGGAAAGTGTCCCCTTTGTTTGACCCCCTCCTATAGGGCGCAGTGGGAGGCCCAGGGAGCGCTCTTCCTCAGACACCCACAGGGACGCGCTGAGCTTCCAACAGCATTTTGCAGCACAGCGTGTCAAACTGTCAGATGGACAGAAATACTTTCGATTCACCAAGAAAAGTCGAATTATTTTATAGCCTGAACCTTTTCCAGTAGTTTACGTTTCTGAGCATTTCCTTTTTAACATGTAAGAAAAAGATGTTAGTCTTCCTCTTATCTTTAGTCCTGCTTGTCCAGAGTCCCTCTCTAGTTGGATTTGGACGTGTTGCTGCTTCAGCTTGGCTGATTTAAAGAGGCCTTCAGCAACCTGATGCTTATTCTGTTAAACTGAGGTTTAACTTGACAATATCTATCTTTTTTCTACAGCAGCATTTACTTTTCAAAGAATTGTTTTCTGTCATGCTTATCGGGTGCTGGTGCCTATCTCCAGCTGTCTAGGGCGAGAGGCGGGGTCCACCCTGGAAAGGTCGCCAGTCTGCCGCAGGGCAACAATTTCCATTATTAAATATATCAAATTGAATTTACATCATCTATAATTTATTAATATTTTCCATGAAATAAATTGTTCCTGCAAATTACTAAATAGAGCTGATCGTTTTGGATTTAATAGAATTATACTAAACTAGATGTCATTCTGCATTCATTAAAGAAGCAATAAGTAATACTAACGCCAAGCGCCCCACCCCCACCTGTTGCTTTTCCCTGATGATGAATGAACAGTTATTTTTCTAATTGATTATTTCAACTTCTTTTTTATAAATTATTTTTCAGATGTAAAAGGGATGTTAATAGATTTTTATTTTTTTAAGGGGGATTGGAACAAACTGAAGCTAAAATTTGGCCACTTGAGGATAAAGAATTTCCAAAAAATCTTTGTCTTATATGCAAAATAATTTTTCACATTCTTTTTCAGCAAAAGTACAATTTATAGTCTGGATACTACAGTTAGTAAAAAAAAATTGGTAATAATTGGTTTAGATGACCAGGAGACTGATGGGCCTATCAATGATTAGTAGGGTTTTTTTTTCCCCTAGCTTTTTATTCCCCTTACACTGCTACAAGTACATCGCAAAGAAATTCACTGGGCTGCCATCATGGGGCGTCCGGGAGTACTTTGCTCCGAGAGCCCGAGTGGCAGTCTGTGGCTGCGGGTTGCGAACTCCCCTCTGGATTCCAAGCACCACTCCCTTCCATTATTTTCTTTTTTTTTTTGGTTTTAGACTCGGAAGATGGCTGCTTGGCTGGCTTCACGGCTGATTGAAGAAGGCCACCAGGTGTCTCTGCTGAGCGGAGAAATGACTGTGGAGCAGAGGGCTGCTGTCATTGAACGCTTCAGAAATGGCAACGAGAAAGTGCTGGTGACCACTAACGTTTGTTCCAGAGGTAAGCAGGCCTGCATATAGTAGGGGTGGAACGGTTCACAAAATCCCCGGTTCGGTTCATGGTTTCGTGGTCACGGTTTTCTGTTGGGTATATGTTTATTGTTACACCGAAAAATAAAAAAATTAATGAAAATTATAAAAATTAATGACATTTTTTTTTTTTTATGAAATTCATGAAAAAATCCAAAAAAATTAATGAAA